TCTTGCTGTAAAAGTTAAACATGACATTTCTTTTCAGTAAACTTTTTAGTTGACCGAAACCTGAACTCTAACACACTTACAAATTTGCTCCCTTCAAAGCAGACGATCAAGAAATTGAATCATTACTTTCTAACGTACTCTAACTTGATTTCACTTTGAATTGAGAATTAAAAATCATTACTACTGTTTAAGTAAATAAAAATGAGTAGTTCACTTCAACATGTAAACATTGTTTGAACTAACACAATTTGATTATCAAAACATTTGTAAAATAGTAATGATCATAGAGAATTGTCTTTTTCCACTTGATTAATTCAAGAAAGAAAGTCTCAGGATGGGTCAAACTGTATTTCTGGATTCAAATCAATGAAATGACAGTTTCTGTCCATCTGGTCAGTTTTGACATCAGGCCTAGTCCACTACAGTTATGTGGGCTGTAGAGCCAGCGCTCCCTGTTTTTTAAATTTGTTTAGATCTTTTTATTAACAACGTATAAACACAGAACACCGCTGCGGCTGAGGCTGCCAGCGCTCGCTTTTTTTTTCTTTTTTCCGACCTGTCAATCAATCTAGTAGGCATGTCAGCAAATGACCAATCGGCGACCTAAATTTGTCCTGAAGGTAAACGCCCCTTGTCTGTGAAGCTGCTCTGCAGCTGCCCGGGGTGTACGCTGGAGTACAAAGTCTGAACCCTCTGAGTATAGTACACGCGTACGTACGCGTGAACGGATGTACGCGGCAGTATACTGGAGCCTGTAACCTTTAGCCTTGGGCAGAACAACAGGAATGGCATTGCCAGGTGATGAATGGTGCCTGGTTTCCTCCAGATTTGATGTTTGCTACTGAACCAATCTTGGTTTCTTCAGATCAAATAATCTTGTTCTTCACTGTTGGATATTTTTATCTAGACTGGTCTTGGGGTTTATCTAGACTGGTCATGGGGTTTTGATCTGCTCAGAGACGGGATTATAATGAAATTATGGCCTGGTTCTGACTGGTTTAAACTGGGCCAGCAACTCTAAAAAGAGTCTCCCTGGGATTCAATATCTGTCAAGGATTAGTTTAATCTGCTTGCCACATTATGTAGAAAAGGTTTTTGAAACACCGTCTCATATTTCCTAAAACATCAGAACCACATAGGATCCATTGAGATCACACTTAGTCACGCCCCTTCATACACTGACAGGTTGAACTCCCCTTCTGCGAAGGAGTAGTCTAGGACCTTATAAATGAGTAATGACACGGGACATCGGGGCTCTTCCAAGTTTGTGGATGCATCACAGACCAGAGAGACCAGCGCTGGCTGTAAATGTAACCTTTTCCTGCCTTGATTTAATACAATTAATAAAACTTAATTGACGTTTCCTTGATTTATTGATAATGAGAGTTGCCACTTCTGAGGGAGATTCGAGCCGGGGGGAGAGACGTGGGCTGGAGACGGGTCCAGGGTCCGAGAGGGTGCCTCTGGGTGACCCGCAGCCATCCCAGGTCCAGAAGCAACATCACTATTAGAGTTCTTCAAGCAGTTTCAATGTTTTGCTTTTAGGAGAGGCTTCCATCAAGCCATTCTGCCATAAAGCACAGATCAATGGATGCTTGTAGTTCTAGTTGTCCTTCTTGAACATATGCCCATCTCCACACAAGATCTCTTAAGTCAAGTTAGAACTGCCTGCAGAGCTTAGAGACCAGCTTTTTCCAAGGTACAGATTTAGAGATGGCTACAAAACATTCCTGCTGCAATGCGAAGTTCCCCAGAGCTTAACGGCTTCCATTATTCTTAAATGTAAGAGGTTTGGCTCAACCAAGACTCCTTCAAAGTTCTAGTCTTCCTGTTACACCAAGCAGCAAAGATGATATCAAGAACCTGATGGTGTCTCTGACTTCTTGTTTTGGTTTTAGTTCTGATAGCCAGCTGGGAGACCATCCATCCATCCATTATCTTCCGCTTGTTCTGAAGTCCGGCCGCAGGGGCAGTACCTTGAGCAGGGAAGCCCAAACATCTCTTTCCACAGCCACCTCTTACAGCTCTTCTGGGAGGATTCCAAGGTGTTCCCAGGCCAACCGAGAGATATAGTCTCTCCAGCGTGTCTTGGGTCTTCCTGGGGGTCTCCTCCCCGTCAAACATGCCCGAAGCACCTCCCTAGGGAGGCGTCCAGGGGGCATCCTTAGCAGATGCTCAAACCATCTCAACTGGCTCCTCTCAATGTGGAGGAGCAGCAGTTCTATTCCGAGTCTCTTCCGGATAACCAAACTTCTCACCATATCTCAAGGGAGAGTCCAGCTACCCTGCGGAAGAAACTCAATTCAACCACCTGTGTCCACGATCTCATTCTTTTGGTCACTACCCAGAGCTCAAGACCATAGGTGAGGGTAGGAACGTAGACCGACTGGTAAACAAAGAGTTTTGCCTTACAGCTAAACTTTCTCTTCACCACAACGGACCGGTACAGAGTCCGTAATACTGCAGACGCTGCACCAATCCGTCTGTCAATCTCACACTCCATTCTTCCCTCATTCGTGAACAAAACCCCAAGATACTTGAACTGCTCCACTTGAGGCAGAACCTCACCCTCGACCTGAAGAGCGCAATCTACCCTTTTCCGGTTGAGGACCATGACCTCAGATTTGGAGGTGCTGATTCTTATCCCAGCTGCTTCACACTCGGCTGCGAACCAGTCCAGTGAGAGTTGAAGATCAGGGCATGGTGACGCCAACAGGACCACATCATCTGCAAAGAGCAGACATTGAATCCTGAAGCTACCAAACCGAAAACTCTCTGCTCACTGGTTGCACCGAGAAATTCTGTCCATAAAAGTTGTGAACAGAATTGGTGACAACGGGCAACCCTGGTGGAGTCCAACTACCACCCTGAAGGGGTCCGACTTACTGCCGGCAATGCGAACCAAGCTCTCGCACCACTGAACAGCCTGTAACAACGGGCCTCCAATCCCATACTGACGAAGCACCCCCACAGTGTACCCCAAGGAACACAGATGAATGCCTTCTCCAAATCCACAAAACACATGCAGACAAGATGGGCAAACTCCCATGACTCATCGAGGACCCTAGTGAGGGTAAAGAGCTGATCCAGTGTTCCACGGCCAGGACGGAACCCACATTGTTCCTCCTGGATCTGAGGTTCGACCAACTATCGGACTCGCTTCTCCAGTACCCCTGAATAGACCTTACCAGGGAGACTGAGGAGAGTGATGCCCCTATAATTGGAGCACACCCTCCGGTCCCCCCTTTTTGAAGAGGGGAACCACCACCCCAGTCTGCCAATCCAGTGGTACTGCCCCTGATGTCCACGCAACGTTACAAAGGCGTATCAACCAGGAGATCCCCACAACATCCAGACCCTTAAGGAAAGGTTGAGAAGGTCTGATAAGTATTCCTTCCACCTCCCGACGACATCACTGGGGCGACTTCAGCCACAGTTATGCATGGATGAATCCCGAAGTCCCCCCACTCAGCTTCCTCCAGGAAGATGTGCTGGTGGGATTGAGAAGGTCTGATAAGTATTCCTTCCACCTCCCGACGACATCACTGGTTGAAGTCAACAGCAGCCCACCTTCACTGAATACAGTGTTAGTAAAGTGATGCTTTCCCCTCCTCAGCCGTCTGATGGTTTGCCAGAATCTCCTCGGAGCCGACCGAGAGTCGTTATCCAAGGTCTCAACAAACTCCTCCCACATCCAAACTTTATCCTCAGAAACAGCCAAGGCTGCTGACCGCTTGGCCCTCCGGTACTCCTCAGCTGCCTCCAGAGTCCCACTGGCCAACAAGGCCCAATAGGACGCCTTCAGCTTGACAGCCTCCCTAACAAGGGGTGTTCACCACCGAGTTCATGGATGGCCACCACGAGAAGTACCAACAAACTTGCGGCCACAGCTCAAGGCAGCTACCTCAATAAGTGAGGTGCAGAACATGGCCCACTCAGACACAATGTCCCCCACCTCAACTGGGACATGGTTAAAGCTTTCCCGGAGGTGCAATTTGACGATCTCTCTGACGGGTTCTTCTGACAGGCGTTCCCAGCAAACCCTCACTACATGTTTGGGTCTACCAGGTCTATCCGGCATCTTCCCCCGCCATCTGATCCAACTGACTACCAGGTCAGTTGGATCATCAGTTGACAGCTCAGCTCCTCTTTTCAGCCGACTGTCCAGAAAAAACAGCCGCAAATCAGATGACATGACAATGAAGTCTAGCATCGATCAACAACCTAGGGCATCCTGGTGCCAAGTGCACTTATGGACACCATTATGTTTGAACATGGTGTTCGTGATGGACAAACTATGACTAGCACAGAAGACCAACAACAGAACACCACTCGGGTCCAGATCAGAGGCCGTTCCTCCCAATTACGCCCCTCCAGGTCACACTGGCATTAACCATGTGGACACTGAAGTCCCCCAGAAGAATAAAGGAGTCCCCAGCTGGCATACCTTCCAGCACCCCTGCCAAGGACTCCAAGAAGGCCGGATACTCTGAACTGCCATTCGGTGCATAGGCACAGACAACAGTCAGAGCCCGTCCCCCCACCCGAAGGTGAAGGGAAGCCACCCTCTCATCTACCAGGGAACACTCCAACACACAGGCACCAAGTCGGGGGCTACAAGTAGACCCACACCAGCTCGACACCTCTCACCATGGGCAACTCCAGAGTGGAATAAGGTCCAACCCCTCTCAAGGAGATCGGTTCCAGGCCCTGCTTTCCAAATTAGAGACGCAATTCTTTTGTATATGAGTGCAAGTATCTTAATAATATTTAACATTCAGTATATTGATTTATTGTGTGCTTCTTTTTTATATGGACTTCACACAGCAACAACAAAAGATGTGGACCTGTTGAAAATGCACTGTACACTGAAGCAAGGGTATACACAAACATCACAGTTTCAGTCTCCTATCGCAACCAAGAACAGATAAAAGATAAAGTGCACTTCTTGACTAGGCAGTCTAAAAGGATATAAACAGAACTGGAAGAGTGAGTCTCACCTTGAAGAATGTTTCTCTGCTCCAGCTCCTCTGCTGTCGGTCTCTGACTTAGCCGCCTAAGGACAAACATTTCATTTTACTGCCAGTCTTAATGGAACCCATCTTTATACTGATCACATGACAGCACAGTATCTGAGAAAGAGAGGAAGAGCCTCTCAAATAGGAGAAGCTTCAATGTGAAAAATAGATCTAATTAGGTAAAAGCTCTCGAGTTAAACAGGTAAACTTTGGCCTGATCAAGGTGGTTTACCTGGTTAGTGCGGTGCCAATCTTGTTCCTCACTGCAACCCACTGCTCCCTGCTGCTCCAGCTCATCCCATCATAGCTCTCTTGGCCATCCTCTCGCTGCTGTTGCTGCTTCTCTTGTTTCTCCAGTCTCCGGGCCATTGTGTCATTCCTCTTCACACGATTTGCCAGCCCACCTAACACACATGGAACATGTTTATATGGACATATTTCATAGGACATTTATGGTAAAACCTGAGGTCTGAGTGAGTTGCTGCTGGCATTTTTTTAATCCTTATTTGTAGCTACTAAGTGATCCAGACAGTTCCTTTAAAAAAAACAAACAAAGCAAAGATTCTCACATTAAATATATTTTGTATCTGCAGCTTAAGTGTATGAAGAGAACTGAAGAGAAGATGGAGCCAGTGTGTGTGGCTCGCCATCCGTCACTGCCCACGTTTTGTTTGTTTCTTTTACTTGTGCTGAGTAAAATTTTGAATGCCAACTCGCTGTTGGTGTGCAATCGGCAATCACTGCTAGATCTTCAACTTAATGCCAAAGATCTTATGATGCAAAACTTTGCCCCGCTTCTTCTGGGAATTCCAACTTTCCTCTGCCATGTCTGGTCACAACCTCCCCGGCATAAGCATACCATTCGCCGCAGTAAGCGAAGTGGTCGACTGGTGAGGATAAAGGCTGTTCCGGAACACCAATCTACAGCTTTTTTTGAGTAGTATGGAGCAGCGCCTCCCATCTTTTCTCGGAGTTTGCAGGATCCTGTCGGCACCTGGCTGGTAGCTGTTGTTGATTTGGATGGGGCGTTTCCCTGGCCTTGTGGATCCCTCTCCTCTACTTCCCACTACAGCAGGGTGAATCTGTAGGACCTGCGGCCTCTGTGCCAGGTCTCTGGTATGGTTGATGATGCTGACCTGCTGGTTCCTGCCAAGATTGGCTTGGTAAACATTAGATCGCAAGGAAACAAAATGTTTATCTTAAAGGATTTTTTCCACATCCAGAGGATTGGATTTTCTGTGAATAACTGAGACTTGGCTATCTTTTGGTGAGTCTGTTATTTTTAATGAACTGTTACTAGTGGATTGCTGCTATTTTAATTCTCTGAGGATATCAGGCCGAGGAGGAGGAATAGTGAATATCTTTAAGAATCACTATAAATGTAAACAGCGCTTGTCATGCTCAGCCAGCAGCTTTGAAATGAGCCTGTTTGAGTAGGGCGGTTCCCACACAGCACTGTTTGCTGTGGTCCATCAACCTCTCAAATACAACAAGTACTTTGTAAATTACTTTGCTGATTTTTTTTCTGTGATGGACTTGTGACCTGTTCAGGGTGTACCCCGCCCCGCGCACAGTGATAGCTGGACATGGGCACCAGTGACCCCTGCAACCCGAAAAAGGAAGAAGTGGGTAAAGAAAATGGATGGATATCCTTATGCATGCTCAATAATCCAGGTAGAAAAATCTAAAAAAAAAAAAAAAAAGTAAAGTCAGGTACTCTGGACGTTCAAAAAACAAACAAAAAAAAAAAAAAATTGTAGAAACATTTTGTCTTTCATCCGAAAGACTTCTTCAGTCTGAGGAGCTGTATACAGCTCAGTCTTATAAATAGCACCTTCTCATAATGGATCACCCAGCTGCTTTTAACAGCTAATTTTGGCTGTCACCAGCAAACTGTTTTATACATATTAGGGCTGGACGATATGGCCAAAACTTTTATCACAATATATTTCTTAATTTGGGTCGATAACGATATAATTCGAAATCGATATAAACAATATAAGCCTCAGAAAAACTAAAAACTATACAAATAAATTAATGTTCACCTTTTATTTGTATTTAGCCTTCAAACAAATTGAAGTCACCATCAAATAAACATAAAATTCTCAACTTTGTTAATAGTAATTTTTTTAACTTTAACAAACAACTTTAAAATTGACAGCATTGAAATTCATAGTTAAGGAAATAACATTTTTGGGTGTCATTATTGATGAGAAGCTAACATGGAAATCTCATGTAAAATATTTAAGAATAAAAATAGCAAAATCATTTGCATTACTGTATAAAGTAAAAGTTTTTGAATGACAAAGCTTTGTATATATTGTCTAATGTAATGATTGTTCCATATTTAATCTTTTGTATTGAAGTTTAAGGAAAATCGTACAAAACAATTACAAATCCTATTTTTATTTTACAAAAAAGAGCTATACGAATTATTAGTAGGAAGTGCTATTTTCACCCAACAAATATATTATTTCATCAGTTGAAATTATTAACATTTTATGATTTGGTTGAATATAGTATTTTACAAGTCATGTATAAAGCTCATAAAAATATTACCCCCAAATATTCAATTAAAATTTGGAAAAAAAAAAAAAAAAAATTCAGGGAATAAGATTATGGAATTGCCTTGATATCACCATAAAATTTTCTAAAACAATTTATATGTTTAAAAAGACGATTAAGTTAAAGTTGTTGGGAAGGTATAGTGCCAGGTGAAGGATATCTGAAGTTCATTTGTTTTCAGTATGGAGATTGTTCAAGTGAACGTTGTTGTTTGTTTGTAGTTATTTTGCATTTTTTAAATAAGGGGCAGATAAGAATTTTTTCTTCTTTCTGCAACCTTTTCATTCAATGTTTTTTTTCTTTCTGATGAATTTCTTTTCTTTTAAATGAATGAATAAACGAATAAAAAAAAAACATGCAGCACTGGGGGTGTTGTTTCAGGGACACATTGGCTCAAACTTTTATTGTGCTTCATCTTCTGACTCTCAGCATATTCTATAGAGTTGAACAAGTTAGATGTATTCCCACCGCTAGTTAGAACGACTCTCCGTCACATTTTGTAGCGCAATGAAACCTGCAGCTTATCGGATCTTAGATAGCCGAACCACTTCCACACCGACGAATAAGTCTTTCTTCTCTTATCAGTTATGTCATCTGCTTTCTCTTCGCTTGTGAAAGCTTGTTCCATCACATTCTGATGGTCATGGGCACTCATTTTGAAGTGAAAACTTAACGTGCGTTGGAGATTAGCTTAGCTTAGCCTGCTACCGCTAATGCATTTTGGACTCGAGCTCTGTGTAATATCTAAGTTACCACGCACTTATGTAATTGTGTCACAGCTTTTTCTGTTTGGGTTGAAACTGAAACGGCTTTTTAAACCCGAAGAGAAAAAGAAATACGTGAGTGAAACGCTGTAATCCTATCAAAATATCGAATATGTGCTTAAAACTCATCATCATTACTGAATAAAAGTATATCGCGAGATATATCTATATCGAATTATTGACCAGCACAAATACATACACACACACACACACACACACACACACATATACATACATATTATATATATATATACATACATATTATATATATATATATATATATATATATATATATATATATATATATAT